TGGTGCCAAGCCCGCCACCTCGAACCGCCGCCGCGTTTCGATCACAAAAAGATCCATAAACACGCACAGAAACCTGTATTTTCTCAACTTTCTGCGAAAGGTACAAAGATGAGATACATCATGGAATGGTTGCGGGATGTGTGCGCCCGGCCTGGGGTATCCGATACAATGTACAAACAGGTCCGGCACTGCATGTTTCACAACATATGTATTTACGAGCGCATTTATTCGGACCAGGGGCGCTTCTTGGAGCCAGCGGCGCTGGCAGAATCGCAAGAGGCCATGGAACGTTCGCTCGTGTGCCTCAACGCTCTGTGCAACATCAATGTCGCGCGCAATCTTCAATATTACCACATTGTTCCCAAAGCTCACATGTCAAGTCACTTGGCATACGATTTCGCCCCTCAGGCGAACCCGCGCAAAACACAGGCATACACAGACGAAGACATGGTAGGCCGCACGAAAAGAATCATTCAGCGATGCCATGGCGCAACAGCTGGAGTGCGCGGCGTGATGCGCTATGTCATATGTGCAGGCGTTCGCTGGTACAGAGAACTGTTTGCACTGCGTTTCAGGTGAACCCTTCTTGCCGCGTCTCAAAACATATCAAACGCGAGCAGCGTGGACCCCAAACACTGAGTCACAAGACGCGCCACGGGTGTGGCGAACCCTCGAAGGGGCACCCCAATCCCTTTGGAACCTGGCCAAGAAATCATAAGTGCAAGCACTTTTTGGGGAAGGGCGCGCAAAGAGAGATGGGGGTTGGGCGGGGGCAAGAGAAGAGGGAAGGGCGTGCAAAGAGAAGAGGGAAGGGCGTGCAAAGAGAGAGAAGGGCGCGCCGTTGTTGTCGTGCCAGTCCCGGGAGTTTCTTCGCCTCCCCTGGCCGCGCGCCTGCCCTTCCCTGGGCCCTGCCCTGCACTGCTGGCGGAAATTGTAATTTGTTTCTAGAAACATATTTTCCACCCGACGACGACGACGTCGACGACGACGACGACGACGACGACGACGACGACGACGACGACGACCACGACCACGACCGCGACCACGACCACGACCACGACCACGACCACGATCACGATCACGACGACGACGACGACGACGACGACGATGACGACGACGACGACGACGGGATCGAGGAGGAGGACGGAGCTTTCTGGGCCCGCTCCCGCGAGCTTCCTCCTACGGCGGCGCCTCGCGCCGCTGCGCCGCGCCCCCGGGCCCCCCTTCCCCCCCCCCTTCCTCTTCCCCCCCCTCCCTCTCCTCTTCCTCCTCCTCCTCCTCCTCCTTCTGCTCCTCCTCCTCCTCCTCCCCCTCCTCCTCCTCCTCCTCCTCCTCCCCCTCCTCCTCCTCCTCCTCCTCCTCCTCCTTCTCCTCCATTCATTTACCTTATGAATCACTCGTCCCCGTCGCGCCCCGAGGCCAGTCCGAAGGGCGGGCCGAGCGTTGCGCTTGAGACTTGCGTACTCCAGATTTCGCAATAATGGGGGGGGGGTATCATTTCGGGGGGGGTGGTCTCTTCCAGGCTATCTTGGAGGGCCTGCGGGGTCTGGGGGCGATGCTTTGGAGGGTTCTCCCACGGGGGGGGTCTGAAATGGCTTGTCTTGGAGGGTCCAGACCCCCTCCCTTTTATATTAGTAAATCTGGAGTACCAATTTTGTGCTCGAAGTTTAACATCGGGGGCCGTTTTACAAACGGAGGGCGGGTGGCTTTCGAAATGTGGTTCTCGCCTTAGTGCCGCTCACATTGGTTTCAACATCTTGCAAGGGCTTCACGGATGGAGGGCGGGCGATTTTCAAAATGTGCCCATCGCTCTAGCGCCGCGCACATTTGTTCCAAACTTTTGCAAGCATTTTCACGGATTGGGGGCGGTGCCTTTCGAACATGCGGTTCTCGGTTTAGTGCCGCGCGCATTCGCTTCAACATTCTGCAAGAGCTTCACGGATTGAGGGCGTGTCCTTTTCAGAATGTGGTCCTCGCCTCAACGCCGCTCTGATTCGTTTCGACATGTCGCAAGAGCTTCGCGGATTGAGGGCAGGGCCGCGCGCGTTCGCTTCAAAAGTTGGCAAGGTTTTCATGGGCTCACGGTGAACCAGAAACGGTGTTTCGGAACGGTGCAGGACTGTCAGGGCGCAGCAAGAGGCACGCGTGCCAAGGAGCCCACAATCACGGATGGGCGATGGAGATGGCGCCAACTTGTGATAGTTCCGGGAGAATTACACGTCAACTTTTCTATGTGGACAATGCAGAAAGCCAGCGCGCGCGCGGGTGACCATGGTCACCCGCGCGTGCTGGTGACGCGTGTCGCCGTCGGCCTCCTTAAAGAGCCACAGAAATCTTGAATTCAGTTTTTGGAATTACACGTCATTCTTCTATTGTGGACAATGCAGAAACCAACGCGCACGCGCGCGCGCGCGGGTGACCATGGTCACCCGCGCGCGCGGGTGACACGTGTGACCGTCGGCCTCCTTAAAGAGCCACAGACATTTTGAATTCAGTTTTTGAAATTGCATGTTCACTTTTCTATTGTGGACAATGCAGAAAACCAACGCGCGCGCGTGCGGGTGACACGCGTGTCGCCGTCGGCCTCCTTAAAGATCCACGGAAATTTTGAATTCAGTTTTTGGAATTACACGTCATTTTTCTATTCTGGACAATGCAGAAAGCCAACGCGCACGCGCGCGCGCGGGTGACCATGGTCACCCGCGCGCGCGGGTGACACGTGTGGCCGTCGGCCTCCTTAAAGATCCACGGAAATTTTGAATTCAATTTTTGGAATTACATGTAAACTTTTCTATTGTGGACAATGCAGAAAACCAACGCGCGCGCGCGTGCGGGTGACGCGCGTCGCCGTCGGCCCCCTTAGAGAGCCACGGAAATTTTGAATTCAGTTTTTGGAAGTACACGTCATTTTTCTATTGTGAACTGCAGAAAGCCAGCGCGCGCGCGCGGGTGACCATGGTCACCCGCGCGCGCGGGTGACAAGTGCGACCGTCGGCCTCCTTAAAGAGCCACCGACATTTCGAATTCAGTTTTGGGAATCACATGTCAACTTTTTAATTTAGACAATGCAGAATAAGCCGTCGCGCGCACGCGCGCGCGCGCGGGTGACAATGGTCACCCGCACGTGCGGGTGACATGTTGAGTTATCATCATTCCAGCCAACGGAAACGCGCTACCCGTAGCATAATCGCGCAAATTCAAATAGATACATGAAAATCTTCGGTCGCGCGCCGGCACCAAGTATGCGCAAAAACTGAGCAACTTATGTTACTAGTCGCAAAAAGTGAAAACATTACTTTTTGCATAGAGTTGGGCCCTCCTGGGAACCCGGCGCGGAGGCCGCTCATCTCAACGAGTCGCAAGCCGCGCGCGTCTAGGCGAACGACAAGCTCACCATGTGAAGAAATAACGTCTCGTTGACCAGTTCTGCCATTCGGGTCGTGAACCCCGGGCAATCTTGACATGGTCATCACACGGCTCCACACCCGCTGTCAGCACGTGCATCGAGAACCTATCCCCCCCCCCCCCCTCGACTCCACGCGAGCCCTTAGCTGCGCCCCCTCCCAGAAGACACCGTTCACACCAGCGTTCGAGCGCATCTCGATGAGTCTGTCGTTGGCAGCAGGCGGCGCTGACGACGTCCGAGGCAGCAGCCCCGCTGGCATAGCCAGACACAGCTTCACTGGGACCCCAATGTATACGCGTTCTCCCCGCATCTGCTGAATCCGATGAAGCGCCACGTACATTCCGCATCTTGGGCCCAGCGTCTCCCGCAGACCCTGCGCGACCGGGCGCCTTGGGCAACGGGCGCTTCGGCGGTCAACCAGCAGGAGAAACCTGCGTCTGAGACGGCGGCGCACGCGCAGGCGGGGGAGGCGCCGCTGCAGTCGGCGGCGGCCCGGCCGGCGGAAGCGGAGGCGACGCCGTCGGCGGCGCGGGCGTCGTTGTCGCAAGAGGCGACGCCCGCGGCGCAGCCTTCGGCGGCCCCGCCAGGGGCAGCGGATCCGCAAGCGCCGGCGGCTGCCCAGCCGGTGAGGGCGGACCCGCCGGCGCCACTGACGGCCGGGCCTCAGGCGACGGGGCTATAAACGGCGTCGGCGGCCAAGTCGGAAGCGGAGGCGGGGCCCTGCGCCTCGACGGCCTACCCGGCATGGCCGGCGGCGGGCCCTTCGGCAACGGAGGTTGCGACGACCTGGGCGGCCGCGGCGTCGCCTCGGTCGCGCACTGTGGCGCCGTCGCACTGCTGCTGGGCATGTTGGACGGCTCGTTGGAATTTGCGCTCATTCTAACCGCTGGCTGCGGGGCGGCCATGGGCGGCGGCGGCCCTGGAGGCGGAGGCGGCGCCTTCCACTCAGCTTCGCGTGGCGACGTCGCCGGAAGCAGTGGCCTGGACCTCGGACCAGGCAACTTGGACTTGTCCTGTGACACAAGAGGAGGAGTCGCTGAGCGCGACCGTCTTCTGTCTCCCGTCGAACCCCAGCGATTCTCTGGTTCGCGGTAACTGCTGAACGCAGACGACGCCGGCGCTGAGCCCGTCGCTGGCAACGGCATCGCTGGTCCCGTTGCCGAGCCACCGGCGGCAAAAACGCCGGGTGAAATCCCAGCCGGCGCTGGTCGCCACAAAAAAATCTTCCCCATGCAAAGCCGAGGTCTTGGCGGATACGATACGTCGGGAAAACCGTTCTCCGTCTTCTTGGGCATCCCCAGCTTTCCCCTCCAGAGTGCGCCCGACGGAATATAATCCTTCACCCAGAGCAACCTCAAGTGCGCAGCACTGCCCACCAAGCCAGGGCATGACGAACCCTCGTGCATGCTCAGGCCAGCCTCAGAAAAAAACGGGTAGGCACCATGGCTCCATGCTTGTCGTCGCGACGAGTGATCGCCCTCATCCCCCGCGAGGTCCATCAACGACAGGTAGTTTTTGATGTGGTCCATCAATCCCACGTACGTCTTTCCGCGACAGGGGACCACACCCTGACGAGCATGAAACAACATCTGACCTGCCAGCAGAAAAGTATCCCTGTTGTTGGCGATATCCGCCGAGTCCACTTCCAGGATCCTGGGGCCTAGATTTTCGCGAAGCCAAACAAAGCGGGCCTTGTCCCATTGAGCGAGCACAGGGAATGTCGGTGCCAAGGCCTTCATCCACAGTCCAAATTTCCTGAGCACAAGTTTGTCTCCGCCGCGATACCTGGCATGCCAGTGCTTCGAATGAGCCAGGTACTCGCAGGCATCCCTGGGCGTCACCGCTGCGATATCGCGCCACAGAGCGTCCGCAGCCTCTTGAGCCCACCGACCAGCAAGCACAGCACGCCGATCGGTGGCGACGCACAGTCTCAGCATACGGAAACGGCAGTTGACCTGGTCGCCCTTCCATTCGGTGGTCACGATGGCAAAGAACTCCTTCACAATTACCTTACCTTCCAGAAGTTGCCATTCTTGGCCCTGACTTACTGGGAATACATTTTCAATTTCGCCGCCAGAATGAAGACCAGGAATATGAGGCACGTGCCCCGACGCCACCTTCACCCAGAAGGCCCCCCACAAATCGTCTGAGAGCATAGCTCCACCCCGTTGCACACTGTAGTCGGGCTTGTGCAAGGCACTCACGAGCATGCCAACAAGCCCGGGCATGAATATGTGATCTGATGAGTCAGTGAGCTTGGGCAATCGAAATTGGCATTCAAACTTCCCGGTAGCCTCATCAACCTCTCCGGAGCGCATCCAAGACCGAGGCTGAGGATCTGGTAAAAACAAGGACCCTTGTACCACGGGACGCAATGGGGGCTCCAGCTGCCTCCTGTCTTCTCCTCGTGCACACTCCCATCGTTGGTCGTTTTCATGTCGCCCCCTTGCGTCGGCATCCACGCATGCAGCGGCTGCGCCTTGGAGTTGCCAAGATCGACAGGGTCTTCAAAATCTGCATAGCAGCGATCGAGCGTGATGCGACACCCGGCCCTGCACCTCTTCTCAGTCCCCAGACCCCCTAGGATCTTCTCTGCCACGTCGATCAAATCGCGCATCTCCCTCACGAATGCGATGAATGTCTGACCCCACGGCACGTTTGGGCCACCATTGACGTCAGCAGGTGGAGGATGCCCGAAGACGGTCGGGGCGCCGAGCTCACGGGCGAACGCAATTCCCAATATGCCGCGCAGGTGACCGTGCGAAACGCACGCCGGCACCTCATCCACTGGAGGACTCGGCTTCCTTACTGTGGGCGCACGGCGCACAGCACCGACACGCGCCGCCTCTTCCCTGCCTCTTGCGAGCCTGGCTGGCCCGCACGCAGTGGGCGATCTGCGAGCTGTCGGCCCAGGCGCGGGCGGCCGCGGACTCGCGGCGAGAAGATCAAGGGAGCAGCCGGGCAATCGCGGGGGCAACCTGAGGGCTTGTGGGCGGCGCTGGCGCTGATGCCCGAGCGGACTTGAGCCGACGCGACAGCGCGCGCGCGCGAACTGGGAGATGCGAGAAGAACGGCGGCGACGGCAGCAGCCTCAGCAGCAGCAGTACTTGCAACTAGCACATGTACACGTCCGGCAAACTCGCCCGCGCAATCCTGCGCAATCTTGCAATCCCGTCCGCGCGCTTCAACGCGTCGATGCATACCGTCACATGTCCGAAAAATCCCAACAGCAATGATAGCAGAACGTGTAGCAATACTCCAGCATTTTCACATATTGTCCCTTCGCATTAGTCATGCCATAGGCGCATCCATGCAATTCTACCCTGAACATGTCACACTTAATCAAATACTCACGCACTTGAAGATCACACCTGTAAAAACAAGGAGTCGGCAATTCTAAACACACGGTGACATTTTACAGTATAAATGTATGCGTAAATTTTCGACGCGCCCAAAACAACTTCCGAAATGTCGTTCTGTGAAACCTTAGCCTTTTCAATGCCGTCTCGTCGCCGTGCCTATAATGCAAAATTACATTCGCACATTGCCGAGGTGAGCCTCCGGCACAAGAAATGAAGCCCCACAGCGCGATGTGGAAACCGCGATGCGCATCGACCTTTTCCGCGGCATATGCTGACCCTGCTTCCGCAGTCACGCCATGTTTTCTGTCAGTCGCACCACAATACAGCATTGGTCTATCATGTTCCCTGGCCTGCCCAACCTGCTATTCGGCCAACAGCTAGACTCCATTAGTAACCTCTTGGGGTACATGGATGTTCTTTTCGAGGCTGTAGCCAGCGCTGCCTGGGCGCAACCTGCAACAGCCCCCTCGACATAGTCGGGGTAAAACCCAGTGGCAGCACGGCTGAGCCTTGTTTGGGCGCTTGCTTCGCTGCCTTTTCACCCGCGATCCTCCCGCCCGCGACGAGTGGATTTCGAACCTACCCTCGGTGAAAGGACCCCCCCGGGTCTAATGGGCAGGGCATTCTCACCGTCAAATAGCGACTTCATGCAACTACCATAGCAACTCGCTGTCCAAAGAGTCGGAGCAACCACTTGAATCAGGTCACTTTGGCCCAGGATGGACGCTGTTCTAACCTCTTAGCACCAACGTCGGCAGCTTGACCCTGCGTGGGACAATACGCCAAGTCAACGATACCTCTCGCAAACTGCCCCGCCACGGCCGCTGCATCAATCCGACGTGTCCGCGGCAGATGCATAAGTGTTTGCGACCCTCCAACCTCGCAGAACTTCACCGCTGCTTGGTCGTCCTCCAGACACTCAGCTTTCGAACATCTACCGAGTAGACGTTCCCAACAGCGGCAACGCAGGCAGTAGTTCTCTTAGCACTTCCTACCATGCTCATACTATCTCCGCCTCGAAGGTGCTGTGAGATGCAGCGGTCTGTCTTCTCGATGCGCAGCTCTGCAGAGCCCGGGCCCCCGCGAGTTCTGCGCGCTGGGCGCTCTGATGTGTCCTGATATCACTGGCCAGGTCGGCGCCCGCATATTGTTTTAACCAAACATCTGCGGGCTCGTCTCCTACCCTAGGTACCATTCGGTAGCGCAGTGTCGCCTTGATGTAGCATATGAAACGGAAGAGTTCGATGTCCTGCTTCTCGATCCATGTAGTCACGCATGAAGCCAATGCGCACGTTACTCGGAGCAGATCGCACATGGCCGTCCTTGCGCCATATGGGGATCTGCATTAGCACCTTTGCGTTTTACCAGCTGCAACACCCCCGACAGAGCAGGCGGTCGAGGGCTCGGGGACCCGTCAGCCGCCCTTGCGCGTCCACCTACAGCTGGTACTTTGTCTTCAGGACCTACATTACCATCGATCCTTAAACATTCCGCGATCGCTTCCTCGGCTGGGTGAACCCCCTCTCCACGAGGGCCACCCTGCCCGTCCTCTAAACTCGCCAACTCAGGGCCGTAAGGAGTACCAGCCAGCGGGCAAGTCTTAGGATCTGCACGTGTCAATTCAGCATAGACCCTAACGCATGGCGCGAACAAATCTTCCATATCACATTCCATCACCTGCACCGTCCTTTTCAAACCCAGCACATAGGGCCCCTTGAGCACCTCTTCCTCGGCGTCGCTGACGTAGTCACTCGTCATCTCCGCGGGTCCAGCGGGCGCAAGATGCGGCTGAGGTTCTCGCTCATCGAGGCTTGCGTTGACAATGGACAAGGGGCAGCGTTTCTCTCGTCGCCCCGTGGACAGCGTGCATCGTCGCCCGCGGATTGGAAGAACAGCAGCGTTGCAATGTTCCTAAGGCCCATAGTACCCCCCGGAAGCTCGGCATAGACCCTCTCATTGCTGACTCGTTGCGGCTACATCGGTCCTAGAGCTCTTCCCATGTATCAAAGCCCATGGTAGCTCGTCGAACGACTGATCTCCAGTCAGGCCCAGGTGGCAAACGTGGTCGACAAAGTCATGCATCGGCCTCATATCGTACCCAGATTTGCTGTCCTGGCGGCACAGGGCACGATCTGTCGGCACACACCGGGGTCGCCCCTGCGGCCATGGCCGAGCTGGGATCACACAAGCCAGCGTTTGCCGCCGCTGCGTACTTCGACTTCTGTCCCTTCGGGGGCGGAGGATCTGGCTCGGCGGGATCTTCGCCCTGCCAGTTGATCCACCTCTCAGAGAGTCTATGCTCGTATCCCAGGTGTCGCACCATCGTAGGCGAGTCCACATCGATGCCCTTGGGCGCGGTCTCTGAAGAACTCAGGATGAGGCTCAAACCTTTCCTGTACGTCTGCGGCCGAACCCGTCAACTTGAAATCATCAACGCAAGCGATCAAGAAGAGCGTCAGCTCCGGATTGCAAGAACAACTGCGCCACGATGGGGTTGGTTCAGAACCCTTAGATATGACACGTGCCTCGCAGCGCTTGCGCCGCTGCCCCCTCAGCGCCAGGGCGGCCGCATAACGCCAATCGCAGATGGCACACAAGGCCACGCAGACCTGCCCAGCTCTCAGGCCACGCCTCCTTCGGTAGTGTAACCCACGTAGGCGCCCCTCCTAAGAGCGACTGAGCACACGCCTGACGCGCATCAGCCAGTTGCATGTCGTGCCCTGGGAAAAGTCCAAGGGCATCGGCGGCTTTGCTCGCCTGCACCGTGGCTGAACAAGATGAGAGCTCTTGGAATAAGTATGCGTCTTTGCCTTGAACAATGACGTCGGATCCGTTAAAAAGCACCACGCCCCGTGAACATCCGACCTTTATGCCCCCGTGGTAGCTCGGCCTTCTGCTCGACAAGGGTAGCAAAGAGCCGACCGACGCGAGAAGCATCACTCCCCAAAATATTCCGCACCTGACTGAGCTCAGTCACTTTGCTGTCGCCCCACGCGTTAATCTCTCGTAGCCCACCCCCCCCCCTCCTTCCCCAAGGCGGCGGCGGCCCCCTCGCCGCTCGCCATCGCAGCTTCGGCGACCACTCCGGCGACGCAAGCAGCGCTGGACATGCCCGCGACCCACCTGGGCGGAATCGCAAGGATCTGATTCACCACCTCGATCACAAAGGTCCGCGAAGTGGTTGCAGCACGGTCTTATTCCCAGCCCCTTCTCCCCGCGCCGGAAATTGCTCGCGCATTGCAACCTCAGAGGCACGCAGGGAACGCAGCGCCTACCGGCCGCCGCCGCGCGCGCCAGGCCTGCGGCGCCCCCTGCAGTCTCAGCTCCAGGATCGGACACGCCGTTCGCACTATCATCATCGTCTGCCGCAACGCTATAGGCATAGCCACCTAACGCAACGGAGGATGGGAGTTCCTCGCCCAAGGCCGACATGACGCACTTGACCGGGGGTCGTGGGACGGCGATACCGACCTCTCGCAGCAGGTCAGCGCCCGGGCCTGGACCCTCGAGCCAATGAAATCCCTCCCCTTCCGCCTTGAATTCGGCGATCACTCTTGCCCTATCTGGGCCTCCCATCCTCCACCACCGATCTGGGTGAGTGCCTGGATTCGTCGAATATTCCTGAGTCCTCTTCAGCCAGGCCTTTCCAAGC